GCAACACCAGCCAGATGCTGTTAAACCATAGCCCAGTGCTGTGTTAACAGCCAGGGAGGCTGGGTATGCACCAGTCATCCCAGAAGCCTCTGCTGTGGCACCATGGAGCACAGCGGCCGGCTGCCTGGGCAGCTTTCATAAATCTAAAGAGAAAGGGATGGTGTTCATTTTCTTTCTTTCTTTCTTTCTTTCTTTCTTTCTTTCTTTCTTTCTTTCTTTCTTTCTCTCTCTCTCTTTCTCTCTTTCTTTCTTTCTTTCTTTCTTTCTTTCTTTCTTTCTTTCTCACCTTCCTTTTCTTTTCTTTTTGAGATTATGTGTTTCAGATTTTGTTTTTAACGTTTTGAGGCTAGACACAAATAAAAGGATATCACGACGGAAGTAGACCGAACATTCTAACTGCTTGCTCAGTATCTCTACCAGTCCTGACCTCTCTTTGCTGTTGCATGGGTCAGACAGAGGCATCCTTATCCTCAGGACGCTGAGCCATCTCTCACCATAGCAGGTCCGTCTCAACTTGGTCCACATCTCTCCGACTCCACCGCCCCATTCTAGCTCACCCGGGTGACTCCAGCAGTCTCTTAGTGGCGCTTGTACCCCATTCTTGTCCTACCACAAGACCCATTCCCCTGCACAGTGTCACTGGAGCCTTTAGATACAGCAGTCAGATGGTTCCACTCCCCAGGCTCTTCAGAGAATCACAGTGGAGCTCTTACTGCCCTGGCTCCTGCTCCTCCCTCCTCCCTCCTGTCTGTGTCTTCGCTGCCCCTCTGGTTTGCTATCTCAGTCTTTGCAGCTACCGGCCTTTGGGTCCTATGTGTCGCGTGGCCAGATTCTTCTCCTACAGGGTCTCCACCTGAGTAAGCCTTTCTAACCCTCCAGCTGCCCGAACTCTATCAAATCATCCAGGGCCAAGGTGATGAACAGCACGGTTCGTGTCTTCTGGAGCCATAGAGACGGCACCTGGCTTGGGTTCAGGGTCTGGTATCTTTTCCACCTCCCTCATCACACCTGGCATCACAGGAGAGGCCAGTCTTCCAGGTGGGAGGCTACCCTTTGGGGAACAGCCAGTCAGCCTGGGATTCCAATTTAAATACCATACATAAAGTACAGGCACATCCTCTCCCCAGCAAAGGACAGCCTGGGGCTTCAAAGGCCAACCACGTGTGCTGGTGGTGGAGGTGGGCTGGGCCAGGGGGAGAAGCTGTCATAAGTGAGATCAGCCCTCTCAGTTCTTTGCCGGCCACTGAAATATTTCTGAGATCCATCTCCAGGAAAGAGGAAACAAAATTCACAGTAGAAAGCAAATATCTTCTACCTCTCTGCACCGAAGCATCCTGTGTCTTCTCAGAATATGGAATAAAATTCAAGATGGTGACATTACAGATGGCTTGGTTCAAACAGTAGCTCCCTGGTCATAGCAAACCAGAAAGAATAGCACTAGTAGGAACCAGCGGTTTCTGTGGGCTCCTGCTGGGACTGAGGAAGGGGCTAGCCTTGGCAATAGCCAGAAGCATAGTCACCACAGCTCTTTCAGGGCTGAGGCTATACAGATGAAACAGTATTGCAAACAAGCCCCAAACTCCCTGGAGATTTCTGACTTGTTTATTATTTTTATGTATGCGTGTGTACCTGTGTGAGTTTATGTGTGTGCAGAAGCCTGTCAAGGCCACAAGGTTTCAGACCCCCTGGAACCGGAGTTACAGGTTATTATGAGCCATTATGTAGATGCTGGGAACTGAACCCAGGTCCTCTGTAAGAGCAGTCAGCGTTCTTAATCTCCAAGTCATCTCTCCACCCCCAATCTCTGGCTTTTGAAATGACCTTATAATAAATGTTCTGTTTTTGCCTGCCAACCTTCCTCCATTCTCTCTCTCTCTCTCTCTCTCTCTCTCTCTCTCTCTCTCTCTCTCTCTCTCTCTTCCTACTCTTAACTGCGGGTAACTACACCATTGAAATCGCTCTCTCCTGTGGCATCTGCGCAGATGCATCTGCGGGCATTCAACATGTGTAAGGCTTGAGTCCACATGAAAGGAACGAGTTAATGTTTTTAAAGATTGTTTTGTTTTGTTTTTTTAACTTTTTGAGACAGGATCTCACTATCTAGCCCTGACTGACCTGGAACTTGCTCCGTAGATCAAGCTGTCCTTGAACTCATAGAGATCCACCTGCCTCTGCCACAGCCTCCCCAGTGCTGGGATTAAAGGCGTGTGCCTCCACACTCAGCTGATTGACTTATTTTTATTTCATGTCTAGTGTGCTCTGCCTGCACTTACGTGTGTGCAGCTGGTGTGTGCAGTGCCCTTGGAGGCACTGGGTTTCCCTGGAACTGGAATCACAGGTGGTCGCCAGCCACCAGGTGGGTGCTGGGAACTGAACCAAGGTTCTTAATCATTGAGCCATCTCTCCAGGTCTGGAACTAAGTATTATACAGTCTTTTCAGAGTTGTCTGACTGATCTGCTTTGAAGGAATTGTGTGCTGGACAGGGGTAGTGGTGTACATCTTTCATCCCATCTCTAGGCAGAGGCAGGCTGGTTCCAGGCAGGCCAGGGCTACACAGTGAGACCCTATTGCTAAGTAAATAAAACAAGGAACTGTACACTGGACCTATAATGCCACAAAGTCACATCGCCGGAAGAGCTGTGACACCGCCCATGTGCTGACACACAATGAACATTTACTAACCAGTGCTCTTGGCCGTATTGGTCCTGTGCTAGCTGGCAAAGGAGCACCTAATATTGTAATTTGGGCATATGTTTTGTCAATGACATTTATTGGATAGTAAATACACAGAGCAAATATTAACACCCCTAATAATAATAACCAATTATAAGCCAAATGAGGACTTTCAAAGTGATATATAGTTCCCTAATAGCTTTGTTATTAGCTCACTTAATAGTCTCAATCATGATTGTTCCCATTTTATAGATGAGAAAACTAAGATCCACAGAGCCAAGGAGGTTGGGGAAATGACTCAGTTGGTAAAATGCTTGTCACAAGAGCACGAAGACCCGCAATCTCACACGAAGGCCGGGTTTGGTGGCAAGCGCAGTGCTGGCAAATCAGAGAGAAGGGAGCCCCTGGAGCTAATTGGCCACCAGCCCAGCCAGAGGGGTGAGCTCGGGTTTAGGAAGACATCCTGTCTCAAACCGTAAAATAGAGAGTAGTCCAAGAACAGATCTAAATATCAAACTGTAACATCTACACACATGTGTGTAAGCACACACATACAAATGGACACCTTCAAAAACATGCACACGAGAGGGGGGGGTGTTCTGAATCCACATTTCTACATATCAAACCCAAGCATGGTTATGGTTACTATGAGACTCAAAATAGAGGATGGATATAAAATACTCCTTCTGCTCACGAAGATGGTTTTTTAGGAATAGCTACCAGATATTGGTCGCTTGCATCACAGCCATGATAAGGAATGTACTTCTTCTCCTCTAGTTGTCCAGAGGTTGTATGAACTAACACAGAAACAGAGGCAGGCTGGTTAAGTGATTTGGCCGAGAAGATGTATCCAGGATTATAAAACAGGCCCCCTTGGAGCTGGAAAGACAAACATAAAGACCCAAATTCAACCTGCTGCAACCTTGCAAAAGTTGAGCATAGCAGCAGGTGCCTGTAATCCCAGCACCAGGGAGGCAGAGGAGGATCCAGGCACTCAGTGGCCAGCCAATCTGAGCTTCAGATTCTGGGAGGAGGGCTATGAGGAAGTCGACCTCTGGCCTCCACACACACTTTCGGGGCCACGCTCCCGCTCAGTAAACCACAGCACGCCACGTGCTGTGTCAAAAGCTCCTTCATTAGCATAGTTAGAGAAACACAAATCAGAGCCACATTGAGCAACCACTTCACAGCTGTGAGGTTAGTTTCCATCAGAAAGCCACAGTGTCGAGTGTTGGTGAGGATCCGAGAGCGGAACCCCGACACTCGGTGCTGTGGAAAGGTGGAGCTGCTGGGCCAAACAGTCCGGCAGTGCCTCCCAGGGTGGTGTGCAGTCGCTGCCGGGAGATCCAACAAGGCCCCTTCGAGGTAAACCCAGCAGAAATGAGGGCACAGGTCCAGATGACAAAATTAGGAAGAGCCCAACGTCCATCATCGGATAAGTGGAAGCAGTTTATATGCAGGGGACTGTCATCCAGCCATCGAGCGCATACAGTAATAACACACATGATAACGGAAACGAACACGGACCGAATGCTATATGATTCTGTTTATATGAAATGTCAAAAACAGGTGAATCCATAGGAACTAAGGAACAGAGGTGAGGTTGAAAATGATGGCAGAAAGCGGAGATTCCTTTTGGGTTGATGAAAATTCATCTTTTTTTTTCCCCTTGGTTTTTTAAGACAGAGTTTCTCTGTGTAGCCCTGGCTGTCCTAGAACTGCTTTGTACACCAGGCTGGCCTTGAACTCATAGATCCACCTACCTCTGCCTCCACGCCTGGCTGAAAAAGTTCTAAACTTATTTATTTGTCTATTTATTTATTTACTGCCATTCAGCTCAGTGAACACTGAAAGCCACGGACATGGACACTGTAAGTCAGTGAAAGTCCAAGGTACACACCGTAACTTCATAAACTGTTTTAAAAGGCCCCTTGGTGCTCTAAAGTGACTTTCCAAGCCTGGCTCTATGTTTCCTAAGCACAAGGATGACTCAGACTCACCTGGGGAAATCCCCACCTCCTCTCTGGGAGCCCAGGTCTGTGTCTCCCAGGTTCCTCAGGCATGCCCTGCCCTGCCCATCCTGGCAGGCCTCTGCCACAGTTGAAAAAACGGAAGGGAGGCCGATAGCCTGCTACCCTTCCTTTGTGGCTTCCTCCGGCTGCAGCCAAGGGCAGCTTCTTCCTACTGTTTCCTCCCAGGCGCCCTTGAGAGCGTGTTTCAGATTTAACAACCACGTGGAATCTAGCAAGTGCACCAGCAGCTGCGCCCTGGGGGTGGTGGTGCTGTCCAGTGCTGCGGAGATCTGTCCATCCCATGCCCCACTTACCTAACATAAGAAAAGACGATCACATGCAAGACCCACTTAATGGTGCCATAATTCACACTCTGGATCCGGGTGACTTTGTTTGTCTCATACTGCAAGACGTCATTCCAGCTGCAGCAAGCCGGCATGGTGACAGGCTGGCTCTCTTTTCAGGCTGGACCTTGGCTAGACCCTCCCAGGCTAGACCACAGCAAAGACCCAGGTAGGAACAGTCAAAGAAAACGTTTCTTAGCAGGAACATTTAACTTCCAGTTCCTCCAGTGACTGCCGTGGGGGCGGGTCCTGGCAGCTGCCCCAAATGTGAGTGGAATAAACAAGAAGCAAGTCTTACAGGCCTGGCTGGCAGATGACCCCGCCCTGCCATCCTCCCCCAGACGCCCGCACAAAGATGGTGTTCAGAAGATGGGCATTTTTAAAATTCCCCCTCCCCCTTTTCTTTTGTTCTTTGAACCCATTCCACTTGGGAGAAAGCGGGCTGCCCTTCAGAAGTCATAAGACCCTGTGTGATTCAGAGAGGGGCCTAGATACTTCCATCGCGGCTAGCCCATTGAGACACATCCATTTTGGTTTCTCTTGTTTGTTTGCAACAGGCTCCCAAGCATCCAGGCTGGCCTCAGATTTGCTGTTTTACCGGAGGATGGCCTTGAACTTCCGACCCTCCCGCTTCCACCTCCTGAGTGCCGGGATTGTAGGAAGGCGGTACCGCACCTCACAGAAATTGCCTGTTTGTTTTCTGCAACCCTTTGTTCAGTCCATGCATAGAGGTGCACGTGCGCGGGGTAAATGAATGGCGGCTTTTGTCCTTCCCCACTCCTGGCAAAACGCAGAGGATGGTGGGCGGGATCAGATTCAGTATGGGAAGACTATATAAACACTGCATCTCACTCCATCCTCTGGATCCTGTCCTGCACCGTGCCCTGGGCGTCCAACCCATGACTTGGGCCAGCCAGTGGCAGACCACCCAAAGCTACTGCCCAGCAGAAGTAACTCTCTTGACCATGCCTGATGGAGACTACCTGCTGGAGGACCGAGGATCTTGCCAGACGGGAGAAGAGTAGGGTTCCGAGGAAGGTGGAGTTGATATTTTTGGTTTGGATTTTGTTCGCTTTTGTTTTGTTTTGAAACACGGTCTCATGTAACTAAGTCAGGCTTCTTTTGAACTTCCTAAGCAGTTGAGACTGACCCTGAACTCCTAATCTAAATTCTGGGATACAGTGGTGAGCTACCATGCCCTGCCCGGGCTGAAACCCCACTAGGCAGGCTGAAGGAAAGCAAGGTGGATAAAACGGGCAGCTTCGGACCGGGTTGCACAGCAGAGCCAAGACCCCGTGCAACAGACATGGTTGGCATTGAACAATGCACCTGCGGAGCCCTGTGTCTGAGGCTCTGTGGATATGGCAGCTGTTTCTCTGCCTCAAGACTTAGGATCCTCCAGACACAAGTGGACTGCTTCATTCTGAGAGTCTGACGTCAGAGGACAGTGCTCCTTCTGGAGAAAGAAGCAAGGGTGGCTGGGGTGTTATGGCTCGCTAGCTAGAAAGAGCAGAAAAGAATCTTCTCTCTGCAGCCAGCTCGGCCCACTGCTGTCTTTCCATCGCGATAACTGGGCAGGCAGATCCACACGTTTCCAGTCTGAGCTTGTACTTTCTCTTCCCTACGATCTCCATCAAGGCTGCTGCCCCCACCCCTGCAGGCTTCAGTTCAAGAGACTGGCAGGCAGGGAGGCCGGGCGAGTGTCCCAGCCCTCTCCATTCAGAGGCTTACTTGGGAGCTCTGGCTTTATCCTTTGGGCTTGGGAGTGGTAAGGGCTTCCTTTTGTTGCCAGCCATGGGCAGCACACCGTCTGCTTTCTCCTAATTCTGTCTCCACCTTTGTTCTGCTATTGGTTTCTTTGTTTGAGGATGTCAATCACATTACCAAAACTCTAAGGAATATAGCAGTCTTTATCTGTAAATAGAATAGATGGGGCCAGGGAGATGGTAAAGCTGCTTGCCACCAAGCCTGGTGATCTGAGTTCAATCCCCAGGACCCAAATAATAGGAGAGAACTAAGTCCATTAAATTGTATACATACACAGACACACACATATGCAGGAATGGTCAAGCACACATACATACACACACACACACACACTCCAAGGATGAATGTAACAAAAATTTTAAATAGGAGATATACAAGGTTCCCATTAGGGTAGTAAAGTCTAATGGTTAGAACTAGAGGACTAACTGCCTGATTTCCATTCCTGGCTATATAATATAAATATATATATTTGAAATCAACTCTGTGGCTTTGGACAGTTCTGCTCATGCCATTTATTTATTCATTTATTCATTCCCAGGAGCACAAAGAACTAGTGGATATAGCAATGAATATGTGTTAAGTCCAAAATTGTCCATTCACTAAAGAATGGATCAAGAAAATATGGCATGCTGGGCGGTGGTGGCTCACACCTTTAATCCCAGCACTTGGGAGGCAGAGGCAGATGGATCTCTGTGAGTTTGAAACCAGCCTGGTCTACAAGAGCTAGTTCTAGGACAGGCTCCAAAGTGTAACATGAGGGCCTGCTTGTTGGGGTTTCTGTCCTGCCACCAGGTCCCACAGCTGTTTATTCCCAAAGAAAATCACACAGAGGTCTCCAGAAGATTATAAACTGATTGGCCCATTAGCTCAGGCTTCTTATTAGCTCTTGTAGCTTATATTAACCCATTATTCTAATCTATGTTAGCCACATGGCTTGGTACCTTTTTTAGCAGGGTAGGTCACATCTTGCTTCTTCAATGGTTGGAAGCCCATTCCTCCCAGTCCTAGAATTCTCTTGTTCTCATCACCCCACCTCTACTTCCTGTCTGGTGGACCCGCCTATGCTTCCTGTCTGTCCAGTCAGCGTTTCTTTAAAACATGATTGACAGAATACAGACAATTATCCCGCACCACCAAAGCTACAGAGAAACCCTGTCTCAAAAAACAAAAACAAAACAAAACAAAAAAAATGGCACAACCATATGATGAAAGAGTATTCAGCCATAAAAAAGGGATAAAGAACAGATATGTGCTGTGACTTGGATGAGCCTTTGGAGATGTTAAAAGAAACAGAAAAAATCTACATCTCATAATTCAATTTCCAGATATGCCTGGAACAGGCAAATCATTCTATATTTTCTTTACACCGCCCACTGAATATCGTCCATGGGTATTCCATGGTCTTTCCTTTCTTTGGTGTTCTATATTTTAGCCACCACCCCACCCCATGAACACTGTTGTCCTAGTTAGGGTTTTATTGCTGTGAAGAGACACCATGACCATGGCAAATCTTATAAAGGAAAACATTTAACTGGGGCTGGCTTACAGTTCAGAGGTTCAGTCCGTTATCACCTTGACAGGAAGTATGGTGGTGTACAGGCAGACACCGAAGAAATATCTGAAAGTTCTGCATCTGGATCAGCAGGCAGCAGGAATAGCAAGAGACACTGGGTCTGTCTTGAGCATTTGAGACCTCAAAGCCCACCCCCAGTGACACACTTCCTCCCAGAAGGTTATACCTCCCATGGCGCTACTTCCTGGTGGCTAAGCTTTCAAATCTGTGAGCCCACGGGGCCTTTCCTTTTCATGCCACACAGCTGTTCTCAGTAAGGTTACCACTACTTCTCAGTGGCCAGATTTGCTGAATGTATGTGTATTCTTTATTTTGCTTGGCCCCTTGGGGCTCATTCAGCAGCATGGTTACTTATTTAGTACTTCTGGGAATAATTTCTCCCCTTGATTTCTATGACACCCCTGGTCACATGATATCCCTCTGGGGCTCTTAACATGCCATGACTCTCTTCTCCTCACACATCAGATCCAGCACTTCTATGTTTCTGTCGGCACAGGGCAGACTATGCAGCCATTACAAAGCACCCTCTTGGCTTCAAATAAGGGTTTCTTTCTCATCTGTGCTATGCACCCAACGCTAAGGGAACAGTCTCATCTTGAACTTTTGAGTGAGAACTCTGGAGTTCTTGAAGCAGCAATTAAAGACTGGCCTAGAAACAAAGCACTCACTGCTGCTAGTCAGGCATTGGTCAAAGTGATCACTTGGTCCCGCCCATCCGCTAGGAGCCGTGGAGCTCATTGCTGCCCTGTGTCCCTGGTGGATGCAGAAACAGAAGCCGCAGAACTATTTTGTTGAATAGTTTTGATGACTACGGCACTCCGTCTGTCCTTCCATCCGTCTGTCCCTCTCTCCCTTTCTCCCTCCCCATATGTTGTTTTAAGAATTACAAAAAAACCGACTGACGGTGTTGACGCATACCTTTAATCCCAGCACTTGGGAGGCAGAGGCAGGTGGATCTCTGTGAGTTCGAGGCCAACCTGGTCTACAGAGCGAATTCCAGGACAGGCTCCAAAGCTACAGAGAAACCCTGTCTCGAAAAACAAAAATAAATAGATAAATTACAAAAAGCCAGGGTCTGGAAAGATGATTCTACAGTTAAGAGCACTTGCTGCTTCTCCAGACAACACAATTTCAGTTCCCAAAAACCATGTTGGGTGGATTACCACTGTCTGTAACTCCAGCTGCAAGAGATCTGACCCTCTTCTGACCTCTGTAGGCACTTGCATGCACATTTGTGTACATACAAGCAGACGTATAAAAATAAACCTTTAATTTAAAAAAAAACCACCAAAGTTTGTACCTGGGATGTGGCTTGGTGGTAGAGAGCTTAAAAAGCTTGTGTGAGCCCTTTGTTTGTCTCCAGCAGGGCTTTCTTGTTTCTTTTCTTTCTTTGTAAAAAAATTTATTATTGTTTATTTATTTGTTGGTCTGTCTGTTTTGATTTTTTGAGACAATTTTCTCTGTGTAGCCCTGGCTGTACTGGAACTCATTCTGTATACCAGCCTGACCTCGAACTCTCAGAGATCCGCCTGCCTCTGCCTCTGGAGTGCTGGGATTAAAGGTGTGCGCCACCAGCCAGTTATAGGAGTTGATCTTAATCGGAGATATGCAGGCACAGGAAAGCTGCAGAAGGGGAGAGTTAAGATGTTAGCATTGGAGCCTTTCAGAGAATACGCCAGCTAGAGAGGAACACGGCCATTGAGATCTGTTTGTGAACTAGAAAGACGGGTTGTGATGTAAACAGGGGTTGTTGAAGTTGAAGGGTGACATTCTTAGAAAAGTGTGTGTGTGCTGGGCGGTGGTGGCGCACGCCTTTAATCCCAGCACTCGGAGGCAGAGGCAGGTGAATCTCTGTGAGTTCGAGACCAGCCTGGTCCACAGAGCGAGTTCCAGGACAGGCTCCAAAGCTACAGAGAAACCCTGTCTTGAAAAACCAAAAAAAA